CTAAAGACATGTGCTATTCTGGGTAACAAAAATGCATTGTTGCTTCCTATCTGATTAACATATCTCATCATTGTCTCAGAGTCCTCCTGAGATTTGTGCACTCTGTATAGTCATGCTAGGTTTCAGGAAAGAGAGGTGGGAGGCAGGGCACTCCAGGAAAATGGCATGGGTTGGGCCTCCTTGGTGGCGCAGCAGTTGAACGCTGGGCTGCGAAGCTGCCCTCAGCCTCTGTAGTGCTGGTTTGATCCCCAGCCACCAGATGAGGGTCCCACATGGTACTCAGACCTCTCCTGCCATGCCCGCTGCTCCCCTCAGCAGTGTACTTCGTCAGTCTGCCTGTTCTGTTCCCCGCTCTGGTGAATTCTCTCACCCTCCCGCGCTTCTGACTGTACCCAGTGCTTCCATAAATAAATAAATAAATAAATGTTTTTTTTAAAAAAATGGCACGGGTTACCATCAGCCTGCAGCCATGACTGTCCTTCCCAGAAACAGTGAGACTGGGATCTGGGAGCAGTTACAATTACTCTCCCTTCTCAGCAGACCAGATTCCCAATACGGTGCAGGCCTTGATTTTATGCAGAAATGCAGATACCCCCACTAGGTCTTCCTCCCTGTATGTGACAAGCATCGATAGCATCACTGCCATTCTTGCTTCAGCCAGCACTGAACACCCCAGTCAATTAACTCACAGACAAGAAAACTCAATGCAGGCTTAAAAATTGGGTGCAAACCCTCCTTTAGCTGAAATGCATCAGCATGCCAGTGTTCCTGGAAGCAGACAGAAGGAAAAGGCTATCCTCTAAGTGATGATTTTCCTGAGACAGGTTCTCTCCTTGGACACCAGGGCTTGGAGAAGTGGCCGTTACCAACCATGGCGGTGTGGCTTATCAAATTAAGGCAGGCGGTTTTTAAATTCAATTACACCCTCAGTGGAAATGGTCTCACTAATGCTTGGAGAAAGAATTATACCCAGTCCATAAAGCCTAGCATTTCTAAACCCGATTTTGTGCATTATTCTAAAGGTTAACTCAAGATCTCTCTTCCAAATGGAAAGTTAAATACAGCCAGTGGAAGAAAGGCATCCACTGACTGACTGAAGGCTTTATCAGTCTGTAAGAGTTCATTAGTTTTAATTAGTGCAATCACTAATGTTGCATTAACAGTTTAGTGAAGGAAAGTAATTACTCACGCATCCACTGTATTAGATGGGAAGATTAGAATTCATTTTCCAAAACGATTAGCATTCTGCCAATTAAAAGAATCCCTTCTCCCTGCCAACAGCCCTGTGATCTCGTTCACCCAAGGAAGTTTAAACAAAACATATTTTGCATGAGAAGATGGAGCACAAAGAAATGAAGACTTAAGTCTGTGCTTCTCAGGGCCTTGGCAGGCACCAAGGGGCACCAGTCTCCATGAGTATCCAATGCCTCACTCTATTTGCCTAGTCACTCACTTCACTCTTCAGATTATATTAGAACCCTGGCCACTGTGTTACTCCCACAGCAATTAAAAGCAAAAAGACTAGTGGAAGGTGAAGCCAAAGGAAGCAACGGGGGTGTCTAGGTGGAAGGACCTCGAGCCCAACGGCTGGACACTTGTGGGGACTTGCTGCTAGTCCCACCTTGAGAGCCAGCTTTGACTGTTGGTGGGTTTGGGGTCATACTGCTGCCTGTGGGAGCTCCCTAAACCATGAGCCTGTGCCCCTTGGGCCCTCCTCCTGACTTCCACAAAGCACTAGGTGCTACCTCGGCACCCCAGTTTGGTTTAAGAGACTTGGGCTGTATGGTTCAGCTGCTCTCCAACACAGCATGGCCCACCTCCTCTCCATTTTACCAGGTCCTACATCCACCAGCCACTTGAACGTCTCATTTCTTAAACACCCCATGTACTTTCAGACCCATCCCCTTCAAACCTGCTATTCACGCTGTCTGCAAGTCTTGCTTATTTTGTTAAAAATTTCATCCTTCAGCCTTTGCACAGTGTTCATATAACTTCACAGTGGCTAGAAGAGCTGCCTCCACCACTACATCCTGCATTTTGCATTGTTATAATTTATACATAATCATAGTATCCTACTGAGGCAGGAACAAAGATATTATTTCATTCAGTATTCTCAACCCCTTGCACATGTAGGTGGTATATACATTTTTGTCAAATGGCTTAATGAATATGGATATATATTTACCACCCTTTTCCCGTCAGCTTCATCAGAACCCAGCCTAGGAGATCCAAGCCAGGTCTGGTCAGTGAACACTACAGAAGAAGAAACTGAGATATCTACATATAGGTGGACATTCCTAGTCACATGTTCATCTCATTCATCACCATTTCCAAAGGAAGTCAGCCCTTGTTGGGTGCATCTCTGGGCATGCTCTCTTTAGTGTTTGATTGGGATTAGCCAATAGGAGGCACTGACAGGAAGGGGCCTCCCTGGTGGTGCAAGGGATTGACTCTCAACACTATGAAGCTATTGGCAGCCACTGTAGCAGGAGTTCAATTCTCAGCCAGGGAGCTACCCACATGGCGCAGCAGACCTCTCCTATCTCATCAGCTGCTCCCTCAGCAGTGTATTTCAGTAGATCCATCTGTTCTGCTCCCTACTCTATCTCTGGTGAATCCTCACATACACACACCCTGTACCTCTGGCCTACACCCCAGTTCTTATACGCATAAACAAATCTTTAAAAAAAATAACGAAGGCACTGACAGGAGACTGGTGCAGAGAAGAAGGTAGGTCAAGGTATTTCTTTTTTTTTTTTTAAGATTGATTTATTTATTTATACAAGCACTGGGTACAGTCAGAGGCCAGGAGGGTGAGAGAATTCACCAGAGCCACAGCGGGGAACAGAACAGGCAGACCGACAAAATACACTGCTAAGGAGAGCAGCGGGCATGGCAGGAGAGGTCTGCGCACCATGTGGGACTCTCGCTGGCGGCTGAGGATCAAACCGGCGCTGCAGAGGCTGTGGGCAGCTTTGCAGCCCAGCACTCAACTGCTGAGCCACCAGGGGAGGCCCGGTCAAGGTATTTCTAACCTACTGTCATTTCACATCTCTGGATGGGAATGTGAGGATGTTCTGTCACTATGGAGCAGCATTGGGACAGAACGCCAAGTACAGTATTAGGGTCTCCAGGTTCCTATGGTGACCTGTGCTGCATCCAGAGTGCTCTCAGGTGTGAAGGTCACCTGACCAGGACGGGTAAACTAAGGCAGAGGCCGCAAAAACTCTTCACCCAAAAATCAAATCTAAGTAACAATGCCCTTTTGATATAATACTTGATATAGTATTAAAGCAGCTCAACAGAATTCTCATTTGATTTGGGATATGTTGCTGATGGAGAAACTTAATCAAGGCTGCTGGACAAGCAAACAATGAAACAGACCAGAGTATGCTGACATCAAGCCTGTGATCTTCCCAGCTTATGAGCTATGCCACTTCTAACTGAGCTAGGCGCCATACTCAGCTTCATCTCTTAAGAGCTGCATGACTTTGGGCAAATAACTCAACTTCTTTGCATGTCAGGTTGCACAAGAAGCCCAGGATTCACAGACTCCATCCTGAAGTGTGTGAGCCCCCCATGGGATGAGAGGACCCCTCCCCCAACACACACCCTTTGACTAAATGGACATGCCACCAGCAGGAAGAGGGGAAACAGTCAGATTTAATATCACCTTTTTTTTTTTTAAACAATTTCACACCTGTGAGAATGGCCCATCTTTTTTTTTTTTTTTTTTAAGATTTATTTATTTATTTATACAAGCACTGGGTACAGTCAGAAGCGCGGGAGGGTGACAGAATTCACCAGAGCCAGAGCGGGGAGCAGAGCAGGCAGAAGGACCGAAGTACACTGCTGAGGGGAGCAGCGGGTAGCAGGAGAGGTCTGCGCGCCATGCGGGACCCTCCTCCGGTAGCCGGGGAGCAGCCGGGGATCGAACCGGCGCCGTAGAGTCTACGGGCAGCTTCGCAACCCAGCGCTCAACCGCTGCGTCACCGGGGAGGCCCTAATATTACCTTTTAAGTAATGAAATTGATCTTTCCTGTGAAGGACTGAATGAAATAATGATGCAGGGGGAAGAAAGATCTACTTCCCACAGTGCCCAACACAATGCGAATGCTACCTAAGTTAGTTCCCTTACCCATTGTTAACACAAGGGTTGTTAAATCAAACTGATCACTAGCACAATTCTGAAACGCAGCCTGTTCCTTCATAGTTGAAGACACTGTTTCCCTCGAGGCAGGTGGGTCTGGCGGGTTGCAGGATGGGTAACAGCAGGCTGCATGGTAGTTATCATCCAGGATGAAGGCAGAAATTCCTGGAAGGGTCCCAGTAGCTCACAACCCAGCTCTGCAGCTAGATCCCCGGGGATTGGGAGTAGGGGGGACAGAAACTGGAGCTAAGAGAGAGCAGAGCTAGTCTGGCCCCCACATAGTGTTCCAGGATGGTCACACTATGATGGTGCAAGTGTGTACCTTGCATGCCCTAAAGAAAGGGAATCTAGCCAGGTCTCTGCTGTAAACACACTCTGAGTCCAAGAAGATAGAAACTCTGGCAGCAATGGTGGGTGGTGATCATGAAAGACAGACCTTGGGCCTCATCCTCTGTATGGTAGGAAGGATGCCCAAAGACATCCAAGTCCTGAAAGGGCTTGGGGAGCTAGGGCAGGAGAACGGCTGCCACAAAGAATGCCCTGCAGCATGGATATCTCCATTGCACAGCCCAGATTCTGTAGACTAATTAAAGAAAAAAAAAAAAAAAAGAACTAAAAGAATGAAGGAGGAGGAGGCTGGAGGTGCAGATAACTTTGGGGGTGGGGGACCTTCTGTGTTCAGAGGCAGAAGGCATGAAAATGAATCCTAGTCTTTTGTTTACCAGCTTTGTGACCTCAGGCATGTTACTACAGAAGCCTGTTTCTTCAACTGAAAAATATAAATCATAGTCTTCATGTCGCACGGAGGATTCTTGTCAAAGACAGAATTAATTATAAGCATACTAATGTCTGTGCCACCCACACCAAGAAATGAGGTGTTTATTTTGCTCAAGGCTGTACCCCTAGTGCATGCAAGTTCTGGCTATAGCCGCTGTTCAATAAATGTTCACTGACACCTGGTCAGAAGTTGCCATCACGCCTGCTGGTGCTTTTGAGGACATTTATGGGCACAGTGTCAGGAGGAACTACAGGTCAGAAGATTCTCAGAAGTGGAGACTTCCTGGGGCCGAGACCCTGTGAAGCTGCTCCTAAGCGGTGAGCCTGAAACAAGGCAAAAGTGTGCCCGATGGGACAAAATCCCAGGGGTCACAGTTGAGGCTCCATCCTTGGATACTGTGCCCCAGCTGTACACACTCAACTCTGCATCTCTCTATATGCCTTAGGCCCTAGGAGAAAGGCACCCAAGACAGCATGATCCCTAGAAGCACTGGGAGGACAAATAGGCATTTACTGAAATGTTGTTCTAATAATAATAGTAATGATAAAAGAGGGGTTAAAATCTATTGACCTCTACTGTCTACACAAAAATATCAACAATATCAAAAATGCAAAAAAAAATGATTTTTTGTTTTCTATGACTAATGGCCATCATAAGGCATGTTATTTGAGGGCAAAATTGCTTGTTTGAGATTCTTATTAAAGAATCAGGAAGGCAATAAATATTGCACTTTTCTGGACTGAGTTTTCAGAATCTCAACTATTCAAGGCACCAACTGTGTCCCTCGTTTTGTTTTTTAATGTAAATTAGATTTGGAAAATCTCTTCTTACAGGAAGAACTTTTTGAAAGAGCTATTTATATTCACATAAATTTAGATTCTATACTGAAATAGAATGACACAGAGAAGATTTAACTACATTTCAGCATCTAAATTTGGTGAAACATTCAAAACAATAAATTTTGTCTCAAAAATATTTGTCAAAACAGATAATAACAAGTGTTGGCAAGGATGTGGAAAAATTAGAATCCTCATACTAATGGGAAAATAAAATGGTTCTGCCACTTTGACAGAAGGGCCAGCAGCACTCATTTTTAAAGAAATAAAACCAGGGGCCTCTCTGGTGGCGCAAGGGGTTAAGATGCAACCTATGAAGCAATTCGCAGCCACTGCAGCACAAGTTCGAGCCCCGGCTAGGGAGATACCCACATGGCACAGCAGACCTCTCCTGACTCACTCACTGCTCCCCTCAGAGTGTACTTTGGTCAGTCTGCCTGCTCTGTTCCCTACTCTGTCTCTGGTGAATCCTCTTACCTCCGCACCTCACACCTTTGGCCTGTACCCCAGTTCTTATATGCATAAATAAATAAATCTTAAAAAAAATAAAAATAAAAATAAAAATAAAACCATATGTAACTGTATTAGAGAGTCTGCTTTTTAACACTTTGGACACAGGGGGAGTCTCAGCCCATCTCACACTGGCCTCCTACCCACTAACATTCTTCTCTTCCTCCTGCAGTATGTGTCCAGCTGCCGAGCAGTCACTCAGAGCGCACCAGAGCAAGGGGGCTTCCCGCCTCACCACCTCACCCACCACCACCGCCACCAGCGCCCCCCCCACCACCGCCACCACCACGGCCACCCCCACCACCTCCTCCACCAGGAGGCAGGGCTGCACGCCTCCCAGGTGACACCCTGCCTGTGCCCCTTGTTCTCCTGCCAGTGGGAAGGCCACCTGGAGGTGGTGGTACCCCACCTGCGCCAGATGCACAGGGTTGACATCCTTCAGGGAGCTGAGATAGTCTTCCTGGCCACGGACATGCACCTCCCCGCACCGGCCGACTGGATCATCATGCACTCCTGCCTCGGCCACCACTTTCTGCTGGTGCTAAGAAAACAGGAGCGGCACGAAGGGCACCCTCAGTTCTTTGCCACCATGATGCTCATTGGGACCCCCACCCAGGCAGACTGCTTCACCTATCGCCTGGAGCTCAACAGAAACCATCGTCGTCTCAAGTGGGAGGCCACCCCCCGGTCTGTCCTTGAGTGCGTGGACTCGGTGATCACTGACGGGGACTGCCTCGTCCTCAACACCTCGCTGGCCCAGCTCTTCTCTGACAACGGCAGCCTTGCCATCGGAATCGCCATCACCGCGACGGAGGTCTGCGCCTCGGAAGCGGAGCTGTGAAGCAAGCAGGGGCTGGACGCGCACACGGCTGCTCCCCGCCGAGAAACTCTGCTGGGCCGCTCGGGTCTCCGAAGGCCAAGACTCCAAACTCCTTTTTACTCTTCTCCCAACTTCCTTCCTGTCTTTTTTTTGTCTCAGGTACCTCGTGGTATTTAGTATTTGTTGGCCATGGACACTGTATTATGTCAACACCCTGTGAGTCAAGATCCCAGTGTGAAGTTTGTCCTGATTTGTTGGGATAGTTTTGCAGAACCTTTAAAATCAGAACGGTTATTTCCTGCGACTCGCATCTCCCTTCCTCGCTGCTTCCAAAAGGAGCAAAAGCCCCTGAGGCCCCGAAGTGGACTGTCGCAGTTGGGAGGGGACTCGCGGCCCCCACCTTTTTCTTCTTCCTCTTCTCAGTCTCTTGCAAAACAAGGTGACTCTGTGTGCGTGGACACAGCGGACAGCAAGTTGGGAAGGGGTCCTGGCCAGCTTGGAAATATATTTCAGACCAACCAGATACAACTCTGCCTCCTTCCTGGGTTCCTCAGGGCCAGAGCTAAGCTGCTGGGACACGAGGAGACGGTGTCCTCTGCAGGGCAGGGCTCTGGGCTGGCGGCGTGTCACACTGGTTCCTCGGGTTGAACCCAAGCTTGGGGGAAGTGGGCAGATGTTGAAGCCTCTTGGAGGGCTGCCTGTGAATCGTTTCCTGCTCGGGAATCAAAGTCCTCAAGTTTTTAGTGCTTTCTTGCAAACCTTTTTTGTCCTCCATTGAGCATGTAGCAGAAAAAAAAATGGGCACAGTGTGGACAACAGAGGCAACTGAAAAAACAAAGGAGAAAATTAATCTTCCACCTCTGAGAGGGTGTTATCTCCTCCGTGTTTTTATCAAGTTATGGCAATCCTGCCACCAGGCTGGAGCACTTCAGTATCCTGCAAAGAACCTGCTTTGCTCTATCAAGCTCCTAAGCCAGAACAGACTCGGCATCAAACTCAAAGAGCTCAGGGGCTGTGCCTGGGCCCTCTGACCGGGAGGCTTGGCCTGGTGCTCAGCACCTGGGATTCCTTTCCTTACTTTCTTAAAATACTCTGAGGGCCCCATTCAGCACACAAACATTATCCCTGGTAAAGTACAGACTCAGCACCCTTTTTGCAGTGTGAATGGAAAAGCCACGGAAAATCCATGTCACCCCTCTATATACTGCTTTCTCTTACTTGGCTGTCAAAATGATTCAAGATCTTCTTGTAGAAGTCTCTCAACTGTTCAAAAAAAGGAAGCAGGTTTAGTCACCAATGTCTCTTCTGTCCAAAATTGAATGCCTGTAAATCTTCCCAGCAGGACCTCTTTCTCCTCTTCATGTTTTTTAGTTGTTGTTGTTGTTTTTGGTTTGGTTTTGTTTGTTTATGCCCTGGTCACTCTCCAGTCGCTGCAGAAGTATGGCACCCAAACCCCACAGAACACTCACGAGAACTGAGCAGGCCTTTCACCAACAAGACATTCCTCTCTGTGTCCTGTTCCCTCACCTCAGTCATCTTGGCTGCATCCTGGCAGGTCTCCCAGTGAGTACTTAGTTTCAGGCAGGCTGCCCTGGCTGGCCATCAGCCATCTTTTCTCCACCAAAAAAAAAAAAAGAAAGAAAAAGAAAAAAAAAAAATGCTAAAACAAAATAACCCAGTGATCAATCTTCCAGCAGCCCATCCTGTCAACTCACAATCCCAGCACCTGGAGTGTGGTGCTAGTGGATAGGAGATTTAATAGGCAGCCCCCTCTAGTCACACAGTAATGGCTGAGACCTCCTGCCAAGGTTTCCTTCTGTTAAAGGCCCAAGGGGGCAGTAAATATTTTGTCACTGACTGAAGCAAATGTCAGGTCTGAAGACCCCAGGAGAGCCTGTAACCTGCTTGTTGTTCCAGAACATCCCACCTGGGCACCAGCTACCCTTTGCACCCAAGTGGACCACTGGGACCCAGCTATGGCTGGTTGGCCAGCGCTGAGAGAGGGTGGATCACTTAGCTCTTTACTTGACCCCCAGTCCGCTCCCAAAACTTCACACCTTCTGGTTGTCAGCCTGATATCTCCGGGAAAACCCACAGATCCTCCCCAGGTTCCTGATGCTCAACCACTCTGAAAACATTTCTGTAGCATCACAGGTATCGCAGGTAAACAAATAAAACCTCAATAAGAACAAAATTACTCTTCCCAGGGCCTGAGCAGGCATGCAAACATCACCTCTGCTTTCTTGGCGTGCCGGTTACCTGAGCTGAATGAACTGGGAATAATTTCAGGTTCTTATTACTGTATATAAGACTAATATGAAAGTGATCCCAGATGAGACATGGTATTTTTGGTTCCTAGACCTTTAGAATAAAAGGAAGAAATGTGTTGCTTTCTTCCATCTATGGTGCTTCCCCACATGTGAAGAACTGAAGAAAACTCAAACTCAAAACTGTATCAGGGATAGAAAATGGTAACAAGAAAGTATGCTGTGTTGAGCCTCCTATTTCACAAAGGGCTGAGTCTCAGTTTAATCCGCATCAATTGTTTGAGTGTGCTTAAAAAGTAGATGCTGAGACACATGAAATGACCTCCCAAGGTCACATATCAGGTGTTGGGACCATGACCAAGTTGTGTTCTTGAAGTAGGAAGAGAGACCCAAAATAATCAGCAAAGTTTCCTTCTCATTAAAGCACTGTGGGCCTGGTTACTTGGGGAAACAGGGAGAGACTGCAGTGAGTTTGCTTTTGGTTCAAAGTAGGGGGACTGGGTGAGGCAGAGGGACCCAATACTTAGTCTTCAATGCCCTCGGGCCCCATTCCAGACTCTCACAAGAGTAAGGAATCTCCTCATTCTCAGATTCCTATAAGTCTTTCCTACACAGAGGCTTGGGATCTGATTGTTACCTTCACATATAGGTGGTGACTTAAAGACTCAATCTCTAAGGAGTATTTGCATTTTAAAAGAAGGCCTAGGGAGACAGCAAAGCTTAACAGCAATAAATAAGTTAGTTAACAGTATTTGAACTTCAGCCACTGTGAGAATGACTTTTTCAGGAGGTGTGGAAAGAAGACCATTGCTGTCCTTGACACTGAGCCAATTTAAATGCTTCATGCTGAAATGAAGGACTATACTAAGAGAGTCTCTTTAACAACTAGTCTCTGCATGAACTGATAAATAGAACAGAACCCACCACTACCTCTAGCTTCCCTAAACATTTTAGACATGGATCAGGTTAATAAACACAGCACTCATGGCTAGAATTTATTGAGGGTTTACTATGTGACCCAGTTGGCCAAAGATTTTGACTATATTGTCCTACTAATCCATAACAACCTTATAAAGTAGGCATATTATTATAGCTATGAGAAACAGCTAAGAAAGGTTAATACACTTGCTAAATAATGGTAAATAATGGTAGACACAGCTAAATAATGGTAGACCTGGGCCATTTCCAAAGTCCAGGCTTATGACCAATATCAACCATGTCATTTCTATGAATTCAGGGACTCAAGGCTCAGAAAGACCCAGTCATAAAGACAAATGACACAGAAGACTTTTAGCATTTAAGTACTAAAAGTACCCTTTTGTTTGTCTTTTTTCCCAAGACAGACTGATATGCTACAGCTGACTTCGTTATCGACTGGTCACTCTTTTAGGAATTTTGAAACTGATTGCTAAGCACAGCCATTATTAAAAATTACATTATATAAGCTTACAAATAAGTTATATTAAAAATAAGATAAATACTCAAAACATATCACTTTTGAATTGTTTCTCTCCTTTTTTCAATGTCTGTGCTCTTGAGGTATTAACATCCATCATATCTGTACAACGAACATACTGTATATTGAGGTGCTACAGCACGTCTCTCAACCCCATATTTAGTGAGATCAAGGTAATAGCTTGAAGTTGGCCGTGGTGGTTGTATTTACACCATGTAAATTAGCAAACGCTTTAAGTCAGGCTTTTCTCTCTCAAAGAGCTAGTTGTTGAACATTTGTCAGCACACCCCTTCCTGATCAACGCTGCTGCATGCAGGGTAGGGAGAGAGGGCTTTGGAAGAAGCTGGAGGCCACCGTGATAGGGCATAGATGACAGCCATGCCAGCCAAACAGCAAAGTATTAGAGAAACACAAACTGCTCTGGGGAAGAGACTCAGGGGCTTCTAAATAGCTTCAGGGGCATTCCCCGCCTGACTCCAGGCCCTCCTCTACTGCTATTATTGCAAGAAGTTGTGTCTAATACTTTTATGGTTAATTATGACTCCATGAAACCAGGCCATTGGCAATGCCAATTCAAAAAGTCTAACCAATGCTACACAATTGGCATCTCCTGCTCTTTGTTCTTATAAGTTATTTTTCTTACCTCTACATAGTGGCCAAAACCTAATCTACAGAAACATTTTACTTTGATATTAGAAACTGGAAATATCCAACACCTGAGAAGCACAGTGAGCAGTGGTTTCAAACATCACATAAAAAGTGTGACTGCAAAAGAGGGACCCCAACATGGCTCAAAGCTGAGGGTCGAGGAAGTTAATGAGTCAAGAAATGGCCATGAAGGATGAAGGCCTGCACCTTAACTTTTCTACTTTTGCTACCTGACTTAATCACAACCCAAAAATAAGGACCCTGTGGACAGTCCATCCCCGACCCTGGCCAACATTCTTTCTAAATGGTTCCCACTAGAACAAAGTCAGAGGAAACGCCAGGCTGAGTGCCGAGACATAGGCAGAGTCTCCAAGGCAGGCAGTGAATCCATAGCTCAGAGCCCAGAGCTTTCACTTCAGTGATAGAAGAAGTGAAGCTTATGGAAGCTTCTACTTGAATTCAGTGACTCATGGAGGGGGAAGGAATTGTGACTGCCCATCAAAGAATTGTGCTTTGATTAAAGTTCAGCAACAAAAAACACCAAGAGTCTCCTAGGTTGTTAGACTTTCAGATTATTTGTCCTGCAGTTTCCCTTCAAGAACTGGTGAGTTCTCCATTGTTTTAACCTGAGAATGGCCAGCCAAGAAAAACCTCCCTGAAAATATATCCAAGAGAACTGTTGTAGATAAGCATTGATTTTTTTCCCCTCCCAAATTTGATTATCACTTGGGTTACCCATGTGGATTAGAGTTTGTCTTTTCCAATGTTGTATGAAAATATTTTACCTTGAGTACTGTACTATAAATACCCTCCCTCCCTTTTTAAACTTTTTTAGGGTATTGAGCTAAGAAAAAAAAAAAAAAAAAAAAGGAAACTGAGAATCACTTTATTTAACCTGCATTGATGTATATGTACTTTTCTAGGCTTTCTTATGATGTTCAAGGCAATGAGAGGTAAACTCAGAATGCTACTTTATCTCTACCTTGTCTCCCATGAAAAATGTCATTAAATTGCATTTGATATTGTTTCCTTGAACCCTTTGGAGTTGTTTGTTGCAGTTTTATTTTCCTCCTCCGGCTATTGTGTAAAATGAGGGAATAGAAATGAAATGCTATCAGAAAGTACAATTATCAGAAATTCACCAGCTGCCACAGTTGACTTACGTTTCATTATCTTCTTCCCCTTTTCATTTTTTGCTTCCATTTTAAAATCATAATTTGATGTAAGGAAGAAAGTGCTACTGGAGCTGAATAAAAGTCCTGGTAACGGATTTGCACCCAGTACTACATTAGCATATGGTGTGGCCCTCAGAAGAGGGGCCAGAGCTGCTCTTAGTGAATGGCAAAGAAAGAAAAAGGCCTTCAGCACCTCCTCCAACCCACTGCCCCTTATCTCAGCTCTCCCCTGCCTCTGCCTGACAACAGTGTCCCTGGAATTCACGTCTGGGCCTATCAGATCAGATGTCAAGGGAGCCTTCATGGTTTAATTCTTTAATTTCAGGCCACTGTTAGTTACTCACAAGATCAGGATTGAGCAAGAGTTCTAATCCTATTGCCTGTCAATTCATTTTAACCTCTATCTTCTTCCTACCTCCTTATTCCCAGAACCTGTTTCCTGCTCTCACAAAGGCTTAAACAGAGAGCCTTGAATTGATCTGAGTGATCAACTGACCACATGGCCAGAATGAATATTCATCAGCTGGGTTACTTTTCAGGCCATGTCCCCTCTTGGGATAATTCTGTCTCCCGTGGCATCCCAGATTCTTGCTTTTAACCTCACAATACCTACAAAGACATGAGGGTGCTAGAGAGGGACTCCACTGAAACAAGGGAGAAGGTGAGCCCCCTGAAATTCAGGAGGGAAGGAAGGCCCAGCCCCAGCCCCACTCCCAACTAATCTTGGGTATTATTTCCCTTACTTCACTGTGCTTAAGGATGATTGGGAGAACTTGGGGTCCTCAGAAATAGAGATTCGGATGTAGGAATTGCAGAGCATAACCCAGAACTCTGATTTTTAACACTCTCCCCGATAGGATTCTGCTGAGGGTGGCTGGCTTCCCTTCAGATTCTCAGCCTCAGGCCTGAGCACATGGTGGAGAAAGTGGCCTCAGGAAACAAAGGACCGGACAGTCACCTGAAGAAGACAGGCAGTGCTTCTGCGAGAGGGAGAAAAGCAGGAAAGGAGGTGACAGAAATGGCCACTGTTACGTTCTGATGGACAAGCAGGAAACACTAAGTGGAAGTCCAAAAAGGAAGGAGGGGAACTAGGCAGGACTTCCCTGTAACTAAGCTCTGAAGGGAATTCTAGTCTCCTCTCATTCAGGTTGGAAGTCAAGGGCAGGGAAGAGGGCTGTGTAGATGACAGGGTGCTCTGTGCCATGACCTATGACCAGGGTTGGTGACACAGGCCAACGTGGTCCCCAGTACTGAGGGTCACACAGTGATAATCCCGCAATCCAGTGCTAATGAAGGGACTATGTAAATCTTCCAGGTGAGCATAGAGGGGTCCCATCCTGTAAATCCCTGCCAGGTCAGGACAATAATTTACATTTAAATCTCTGCCTGATAGCCCTGACAGGGAGTTATCTAGCAAATCCCCAGGGAGGCATTTATTTATCCTGCAAATCTCTCTAGGATGCCTGAGCAGGGCTCACTATTTCAGGGCCCTCCATGAGAAATGTGAATTATCAGGCCACTTTCCACCGCAGCTCAGAACTAAGCCCCATGTAAGCCATGCCTATGGGGTGAGAAAGAAAGAAATCACTGAACTAATTTCTCATTACCCTAGAGGTAGAAAAGATAAATTCTGCACACCATCTGCAAGGAGGCCAATGGGAAAAGCATCTATTAAGGATCAAAGTTGGGGGCTTGGATTACCACCCAGCTAGGAGGTAATTGAATCTTCCATTCTCTCTGCCTCTCCTGGCTTCCAGTTCCACTTACATTAATACACAGGGGTAGACATTTCTGGATTTTTAGATCTGACTCGACATACAATTCTAAGAATGACAGCTTTAAATAATAAAATGCAATCAAACAGAATATAAGCATCCCAATACATCAAAATGCTCTCAGATCGTTCAAAAGGTGAGCCCATAGCTCATTACATGGTTTTGTTTCCTGCAAACATAAGAGAACTCAAGGAAGGTCTCCTGGAAGGCTGTATCTATTCCCTAAACATCCCTGGCATCTGGATCTGCATCTGCACCAACTCAAGAGAGGTGCTCGAAGGAGAAGGAGAAGCAGAACCCATTATCACTGGGGCTGATTTAGAGAAGAGGCCACAGCCTGAGGGTGAGGCTGAGGTGGGGGGGGGGGGGGGCGGGGAGGAGCTCCAGAGGAGGAAGAGCAAAGAACACGTCTGCTTAAGATAATACAGGGCACCCAGTTAAATCTGAATTTTAGATAGACAACATTTTTTTTCTGTAATATTTGGGACATAGCTATACTAAAAATATATATGTTCACCTGAAATTCAAATTTTAATTGAGTGTCCTGTATTTTCATTTGCTACATCTAGCAACCCTAAGAAGAAAAAGTCCATAAAATGCACTCATTTTATTGTGGGTACAGGTTGTTGTTCTCTGTAGCAAGCACTCAGGAAGGAGGGTCCCCTGTTACAAACTCTGCCCCTGATCTGGAAGCCAACTGGAAGCCAATTCCTGCCAGCCACTGGGCTGAGGCATCATTTTCCCTAGGGCTGTCACCATATTCATGGTGGGCCTGTTTTCTGAGTGGACCCAGATGAGCTGAAATTTACCCCTGCTTCTTAGTAAGACCATGATGAATTTAGATCCTAGAATCTTGGGGGCACATGGGCAGAGGGAAACCATAATAATTCAGAAATAGTCCCAACTCTTTGTGCACCATTAAGAAGAGCATGTCAATACAGGATGTGTGGGTGACTTTAGCTTGGGCAGCAAAATATTATTGAATATTTACTGTATGTTGAGCCTGTTGAAAGATACAAAGAGGAAGAAAGATCTGGTTGCTGCCTTCAAGGAACTTCTCAGTATACTCAAGGAAATGAAATAAAAGCACTTACACCTGTCTTAAGTACTATCAAGCAGTCCAGCAGAGTCTAAGATGTCATCCTGTAGTAGCCATTGGTTTATTTGCTTACATCCATAGATTTTGCTGTTAAGGAGTCAATGACCCAAATGTATTTAGAGAGTTTATTATTTACAATAAGAACACTGTGGTCCAGGTTCCTTGGGCCCCAATTCCAACAGGACTATGCAATGAGGACCATGTGTTGCCTGCAGAGAGTAGATGTGCATTATAAGAGAGGAATCTAGGATTAGGACTCTCTGATCTTACATGCAGTTGCTATCAAACCTGCCTATTCTCCCTCTGGGGGTACAGAGGGGAGAGAGAAAAAGAGAGAAAAAGAGAGAGAGAGAGGGAGAGAGAGAGATTATTTCTATTGCCTTGGAATATCTCCCTGAGGAGAGATTGTCTTTATTTTTACTATCCAGGAATATAAATGTGTTCTCCAAGTCACTGTCTCTTCTCCATGTTCATATTAACATTCCTGAAAAGCTAATTCTGAAGCATATGGCTATTGATGCCTAGACATGTAGAAATAAGAGATTACAGACAATTGTTGCCTAACAGCAACACACAGTCTTATATTATGAAGACTTAATGAAATGATTAAGATTTTATTTTTTTTATTTTTTTAATATTCTTTTTTCTAAAGATTTATTTATTTATCCAAGAACTGGGGTACAGGCCAGATGTGTGGGAGGGTGAGAGGATTCACCACAAACAGAGTGGGGAGCAGAACAGGCAGATGGACCAAAGGGACTCCTGAGGGGAGCAGTGGGTATGACAGGAGAGATTTGCTGCACCACTGATTAAGGTTTTAACTGGCACAGTTTGAGAAGGAACTTGATGGCAGCTAATAAAATGTTGTATGGAGGAAGAAGAACATAATGTTGTCAATGAAGAACTTGCCAATAAAGTCCAAGATTGGCAGATGCTTTTGGTAAAGGGCCAGATTATAAATATTTTAGGTTTCTCAGGCCATATCCCTTCATTGCAACTATTTGCTTCTGCCATTGTAGTATAAAAGCAGCCTTGGATGAGTGTATGTGGCTGTGTTCCAATAAAACTTTATCTACAAAACTGTAGCAGACTGGATTATTCCCATGGGCTACAGTTTGTCAATTTCTACACTGGAACACATAATTAACATTCAAACAGTTGGAGTGGGTGATCAACTGTAGGATATGGTAGAAGAGATTCATCTATGGGAAAGAAAGTTGGATGAAGAAACACCAAAAAAAGGGTAAAGACTAATAGACGAAATAGCTAGACTAAAATCTCTGTACCAGTGGCCCCAGAGAGCAAAGGGTAGCAGAATATGCCAAACCAAGATACAACTATAGGAATTAAGGGTATGTTGCCCCAAAATATGTTGCTTTGGTATATTGATTATTTTGAGCCACAAGCACTTGAAAATCAGCAAAGGCAGGTGGGGGTGGGAGGGAGCATTCTCTGAATTCCCTTTCTCTATCTAAATACAGATCCTCCAAAAGGAAAGTAATTGTCATAGATAAGGGAATTTTATCAACCAGAAAAGATTGACTCATCAAAAGAGAGGAGACTAGAAATCAATACCAAGTCAAAACAAACTTTGTCACAAACTATGATACTTCTATCTACTCTTCTAAGAGCCCATTCATCCTGAGATAGCTTAGGTGAATTAAATTGCAAGCTTGCAGAAAAGAGTTGCCCAACATCTTGTTTAAATAGGTGGGTGGGCAAGTCACAAGCTGACAGGCTGCCACCTAGCAACTTGTTGAAACAATCTATCCCACCCAACTCACCAAGGGTGCCATACTTAGACAAAAGGTGCGACAGCATGGCTAATGACTGTTTCATGATTTCCTTGAGGCCAAGGGTCAATGGCACGCAGTTACTGAAAATCTTGACCAAGAGTAACCAAAGTTCCATTCTCACACCCCTGGGTGGAGACTTAATGAGACATGTGACTTACAAAGAAGCATGTAACCCATCTGCGCAT